CGAATGTTCAATTGCTCTTTAATCAACACTACCAAAGCCCCCCAAAATTGTTCTGAAATAGAGAAAAAACATATTGAATTTCTCTATGAAAAAAGCATTTGAAATATATTCATGAATAAGAAAAGCTTTTGGAGCTTCTTCTCAGACCTGGAGAACTAGAGTAGCCGTCCAGGGTAATATAACCTTTTACAAAGGACTAGAATCTTCAGGATCAAAATAGGAAAAGGTTTACCCTCTTGGACATGGAAGGCATCAGTGTATATCTTTTCAAGAAAAAAACACTGTCTCTGAAACAATGCAAACAGCAACAGGTTAGTGGAGCTAGAATTCCTTGAAGTTCAGTAGAACTTCTGAAGGCTTTCCATTTACCCATCTGAGAACGGAAATGGTCTCTGCGAACAGGAGAGGAGCTTGCTTATTTTCTACCTCAGGTGCCAAATAACTTAACCATCCTTCACTGGCAGAGGAGGGAATTCAATTTTCTGTTCTGCCTCAGGCAGCAAAATGTAACATGTCAGCACTGTTACAGTTGTCCAAAAGCATGAATGTTGGTATAAATAAGCGAACATCAATGTTACTATGGACATAAGTACAATGGAAAAGTTATATATGAGCCTAATCCTCCTCTCACTAAAATCTGAGTAATATTTAAATTTTGCACTGCTGGGCCTTGTGTTTTTATGATTTACATGCCAATGAAGGACAATAGGATACTATGAAACAGAAGATACACAAGAAAAGAGTACAGAGTAGCCCCTCCTAACACTGCCTTTGTGGCATTTTAATTTATAATGTTCAACTAATTACATAACACTGTCTTCTGAAGTGTTCTCTTCTTCATAATACATACTCTTTATAATTCTTTATTAATTACTCTCTTAAGTGCACACATTTATGTATCATATTTATATAGATAATAAGACGGAGGAAGAATAAGATGCAGGCGGTTATTGGAGAAAGATTCATAAAGGAAGAAAGAGGGAGAAAGAGAGAAATTGAGTCTGAACAACGCATAAAGGAAGCCTGGGGTGGACACTAATCATTTCAGAACAAAAGTATCCAACAGCTATTTCCCTCTATAATTTGAAATGAAAAGACGGGGATTAAGATATTTCGGCTTTATCCCCTGTCCACCCCCCAGAAAATAATTTGGATCTTAGCTTGGGAGGGGGCCTCATTAAAATATGTTCTATTCCATGACTCCATTAAAAAATGAATTAACATGCAGATGTGCCCCCAAGAGATTTGTTTCTGGAGACAAAACACGTTATTTGGTTATGTGTTAGAACTATTTTCATACATACATCTGAAAAAAATATTGTTTCCTTGCTTAGATGTTGTAGGTGGGGTTAGAGGATGAATGGTGCCTCAAACAGGATTTGTTTCATCGTACATTTAAGTGCCTTTTTCTTGTTTCTTTTGCTCTTGAGCTCATAAATCAAAGCTAGCACAGGCTCCAACTTCAGATATGTCTGGACCAGACCAGAGCCCGACAATTTTCCGCCAAAGACAAAGCACACTAAATGTTGCAAAGAGCATTTACATGTTTACTCTAATAACTATTGTTGTTTTAAGACAAGTAGTTACATTAGGATATGTTGCAAAGGAACTCACTGCCCAATATCCTTGACAGTAAATAAGACAAATAGCATGAGGGACAGGTCAGAACACTGAACAACCCTACTGGACAATGACCCTAACATCAAAGAGTAATTCCCCATCATCACCTTCAGAGCTTGGTCTGAAACTACCACAATCAATGCTTCCAAGTCAACACAGATAAGCTGCTCAAAATAATAACATAGTAAAGGTCATTATGAAGCCAGAAGAACCAACAAGGGCACACTCTGGTCTAGTTCTTCATATAGATTGTCCACCCAGGTGAACAAAGCCACCTCTGTCACATAGCATGCTCTGAAGCCAGACTGAAATGGATGTAGGCAATCCATCTCATCCAGGAACCCTTAAAGCTGAGAAGCCACCACACATTCTAACACCTTAGCCTCAAATATTGGAGACCTGATAAGTAATTATCAAGTAGAAAAGCGTTCCGGGAGGATTTCTCCAACAGACGTTTCATAAATGTCTCTTTTAGGAACTCTGCTTTGCTGCAGAGAGGCCCCCATGACTCCCTTTACCTGTTCAGGAAGCTCTCCTCCCACTTCCAAGAGTTTTAATGAGTTATCTATTTATTTATTTAATATATTTCTACCATGCCTGTCTCCTAAAAAAAAAAAAAGGATCCAAGCAATGTTCCCCCTAACTTTCTGTCCCACTGCACAGGAGCCTCGTTCCGTGCACGCTGGGGTGGGCAGGTCTTCATCTGGAATCCCAAGTAAACAAGCTGGCTGCCATCTGCCCATGGGCAGACCTGGTGGAGCTCTGGGCAAGCACACGTGAGCACAGCTTAGAGGGAATGATGCACCAACACTTCCAGGGTGTTCCAAACAATAAAAAAAGGGTTCTGGATATAGAGGGACAAACTTTGCATAGCGCTGTCCAAAGAGTTTGTTCCCCACTTTATTTCCAGCTGCCCCTCATCCATGGCAGTAGACCGATCTATCTTTATCATTTAGAACAGCCACAAGATCGATGGGCATTTACCCTTGCCAGGTGCAATATAGTACCATCGAACTTAGCGCAGGGCAGGTATATGGGTTTACCTACAGAACTGAGAGTCTGCCCGTGTGGTCAGGGGAGAGGTTGAATCCCTGCAACGTACAGTATGTTATTTTATTATATTCTGTACAAGGACATCCACCTGTCTCATTTGAGCACTTTTCTCTCCTCCCATTCCGGATGGGACGATCTGAGGAAAATGCAACATCTTTTAAGTGGCAATATTAAGGAACTTACCTTGTCAACTGCTAGATACCTCTGTGCCATTATGCAGAGACATTGTAGCGTGCTCTTGCAGAATGAAGAGCCCAAATATGCATTTGGCCGGTCCCTGTCACCTGTTAGTCGTTGAACATTTTAGCTGTATTTTATTGCGTTTTTAAATTATGCAGTATGCCAACAAAGGTTTCTGTCTGTCTGTTAAAAACAACAAAAATTCAAGCTATCCATTTTAAAACCCCTCTTAGACAACCAGTCACTAAGGGAAAGCTTGCCTGAAGAGAAAGGTCTTCGCCTGTGTTGGGGAAGGGCAGCAAAGATTCAGCCAGCATAGCTTCCTGTTGCGGGGGGTGGTGGTGGTGGTTCCAGAGTATAGAACCGGCAACAGAGAAGGCCCTCTTTAGTTTGCCTGAAGAGAAAGGTCTTTGCCTGCGTTGGGGAAGGACAGCAAAGATTCAGCCAGCCTAGCTTCCTGTTGCGGGGGGGGGGGTTCCAGAGTATGGAACCGGCAACAGAGAAGGCCCTCTTTAGCGTCCCCATCAAGCACACTTGTGTGAGGATGGTGGGGCAGAGAGAAAGGCATCCCTTGATTATCTTAACACCAGTGCAGGCTCATAAAGGGAGATGTGGTCTTTCAGATAGCTTTTGCCCAAACCGTGCAGGTTAAAACCAGTGCTTTCATTTGTGCTCAGATCAGCAGCCAATGGAGCTGCTGAAACAGGAACATTAACAATCTGGCTGCAGCATTTTGGACTCACTGTAGTTTTGAAACATTTTCCAAAGGCAGCCCCACATAGAGTGTGTTATAGTAATCCAACCAGGATATAACAAAGACATGTGTCACTGTCTCCAGATCAGTCATCTCCAAATCAGTCATCTCCACTGGTGCAGCTGTCACATCAGTTTTAACTGTGCAAATGCACACCTGGCCACCAAAACCTGGACATCCAGGCTCAGAGATGAATGCAGGAGTACAAGCAATGCACTTCTGTTTTCAGAGGGAGTGTAGCCCCATCCAGCACAGGCTGGATCCCTGTGCCTTGATCTGCTTTTTGGCTAACCAAGAGCACCTCTGTCTTTTCTATATTAAGTTTCAGTTTATTCACTCGCAAACTATCCATTACTAATACTAGATGCTGATCTAGTGTTGAAACAACTTTCTTGAATTTAGAAGGAAAGGACAGATAGAGTTGGGTGTTATCCACACACAGGTGGCACACAGCCCCCAAATCTCCAGATAACATCTTGCAGTGTGGTCATGTAGATGTTAAATAGCATAGGGGACAAACCAAACCCTGAGGGACCCCACAGGCTAGCCAGTGTGTTGAACAGGAGTCCCCTAGCACCATCTTCTGAGTTCCGCCCTCCATAAAGGACCAGAGACACCGAGTCCCATCCCAGAGAGATGGCACAGAAGGATACCGTGGTCAATGGTATAAAAAGCCGCTGAAAGGTCCAGCAGAACCAGCAAGGGCACATTGTCTCTGTCCAATTCCTGGCATAGATCACCCACCAAGGTGACCAAAGCAGTTTCCATCTCATAACCAGGCCTGAAGCCAGATTGAAATGGATCTAGATAATCTGTCTCATCCAGGAAAACTGGCAATGAGAAGCCACAATTTGTTCCAGTATCTTGCTCAAGAATAGAACATTAGAGGCTGGCTGGTAATTATGCAGGACTGTGGGATCCAAGGAGGGCTTTCATAACAATGGATCCTACCCAAGGAGGCATTCGCCACCCTATGTATTCATTCAGCCAGTCCCTCTCTGTCAGCTTGTATAAGCCAGAAAGGACAAGGGTTCAACTGACATGTGGTAACCTAAAAACTAATCTATTAAAACAACTCTCCAATGTTCTTTTAACCATGCAGTAGACCATTTCTTAAAACAAAACAAAACAAAACAAAACCACCACCACCCCATTCAGTGTGAACTTAGGGTACAGCCTGAACTACAGGTGCACAATTCTAGCATTTAATTCTTCATCATTCTGATCTATAGTGATTTGCTGTTCCCAGAAAGGAAATTCCGGCTGATTATTTCCAGACAGTGCCTTGCTTTTAACAGATAATTTGCAGGAAGGACACTGTGTCATGTTAAATATTCCAACTCTTCAACTGGGCTCATTTCTTCTTCTTCTTTTCTTAATATGATATACTTACAGGTCTGACATTCATCCGCTGAAGGTCCCCAGCATCGGTTTCCGCAAGATTTGTGACATGGACCACCTTCAAAGAGAGCAAAGATAAAATAAAAAGACAACTCAGAAATTGTTTTTATTTCTTAGCACACGCACATGCACACGTGCACGCACGCACACACACACACACACACACACACAGAGACTACCTACCTGCCTGCCTGCCTGCCTTTAAGCCTGGTCCTAGAACAGCTCTTTAAGGGAAACTACTGATGTAGCCTTGTGAGTAGTTTGTGCCTTACCATAGCTGAAAAACTGTCAACAGAATTCCTTAGTCCTTTTATTGACACCAATTTTCAAATGTACAAGAATCAGAAGTAAGTCATGGAACTTTGTATCCTAATTGCATCATTTTGGATTAGATGGGTACTATAGACATTTAAGTGTGTAACTGTTGAAGTCATTTTTTATACTTCTCTCTTTCTATGAACCTGCTGAGCAGCAGCAAGGAAAGAAATATAGTGGTTTTACAGGAAGATAAAAATTAACATAGCATACAGAATTATTCTTGCTTCTGGAGACGCTTTTAAAATAATGGCATACTCGTGGTCCCCCCACTTAAATGACAGGTAGTTATTATCAATTAATACACTACTGCATTGATTCTTCCGGGTGAAATTCACTAAGCCCTACTGATACGCACTTTCACATGTTTTTGTTTCCCACACAAATATATTCAAATTAATTTTTGCTCTCAATACTCTTTGGAAATCACAAGGAATAGCCTTTCTTCCATTTTTGATAACAAGTCTATTTCATTTAGTTGGAAGCTTATCATGAATGGGTTCATTGTCATAAAATGCTCATTCTGCGTGCCTACTCCCATGTATTTGCTGGAATGTTTAATCTATGGCATGAAGAGAAATTCAGCATATTTCTTCTGCTTTTCACACAGCATGCAAAAAGAGGCACTTCCTCAGCATCAACAGACCCCCTTCAAGCATAGCCCAGGACCTTTGGAGAATATAACCATTATAATTGGGCTTTGGGGAGCTAAATAAACTAATAGCCAAGCACACACCGCCCCCATGGCAGATAAGTGGGATCACTTGTGGGAACCACTCACTGCTAGAGGAAGGGGAGCCATGGGGAAAGATGAGGTCTACTTTTGTCATAAACCAATAGAAGCAGGGGGAGTAGAGGCTAGCAGTATCTTTGGACAAGGCGAGATGATGCACGTAGCACATTTCAGAAGGCTACTACTTCAGTTTCCTCACTCATATATCTTGTATTTAACATGCTTTGTTTTGTGTTTGGTCACTGGAAGGTAAACATGGGCTTAATTTGCAAGTCTGATTGCTGAGGCATGAGTCTTTGAGGCAATTGCTCTGTGCGAGGCAACATTCCCTCTTATTGTCATCCTCTGGGGAGCCGTGCAGGAGCTGTCATCCGAAACCCGAAAGTAAACAGGCATCCACCCCGGCTGCCACTGCATAGTGTCAATGGAGCTCACCCTCTAAAGTGAGCTTTGCGTACCTTAGAGGAAACCTTGATGGGAGGGAAAATGAATTAATCAAAGGGAAATGCATTCCTCTTAAAGTCTAGTTTGATCCTGTGTCTACACAGTGGCACTGTGCCACTTCTTAACACTTCATAGCTAGATGTTTGTGCAGTGTTGATGGTAGCATGCCTTGTCTCCATTACTGCTTCATGGCAGTTTCTGATAAGGATGGATTTCTACCTCTTTTCCAAGCGGTACAGCAGCAGCCAGGGCACAATCTATCGAAGCCCCATAATGTGAGAAGCATCTTTGTTGTCAATTTTAAACATTTGTTCAGTTCATGAGCATTCCTATTTAAAATCCCAACCACTTTCCTCTCTTTCCTGTGTACATCTACAAAACAATCTCAAAAACATCAAAAGAATCACCAAAGCATCAGGATTTACATACGACTTGCAACTATATTTTGCAAGTTGGATGTAAATCCCCACTTTTTCCGCCTATTCCAATAAGGTGGAGAAATGAAGGGGAAGAAACCACCAGCTTGTTGATACATAACTACCTGATATGTCAAAGAGGAAAGGGTGCTGAGAACCATGTTGAACTGAACAAGAAAATCGGGATGAGATATATTTTTAAAATGAACAGAAAACTTCCCAAATGCACCCTGATAGAGTGATATCTTTTTCTTGAAAGAAACACAATGTAATGATACTGTACGTGAAAATTATTTTGGGTCATCCTCTGGTAAAGTGGTTGGCTCCTTAATTCTTTCAATTAGTATGAAACCTTTGAGAATACATAGTATGCATTTGGTTTGGAAAGAATCCACCCTATAGACAAACATATACTATTAAATATAATTGAGGATAGCAGGTGAGCAGAGTTGTGTTCTGAGCTGAATTTCACCACTTTGTGACACTTACACAATGTCAATTGAATCTACTGATTATATTGTACAGCAGTTACACATGTATGACAACCACCTCATTAAAAACATAATGTAACCAAGTTCATTTAAGGCAATTATGCCTGAGAACCACAGTTGCTGATATCAGCAAGCAGTTTTCCGTCACTTTCTGGCATCTGAATCACAGCTACTGTATGTCATGCAAGCATATTCTGGCTGACAGGAAGAAGACTCCATCTGGCACAAAAAATAAAATTTAACCCATAATGATGATTATTATTATTAAAAATTGACTGAAGCTGTGTGCAGACCGCTAATGACATCAAACTGCCTAAGAGGAGAACAGAGTAGAAATTAGAGAATGGAAAGAAATGGGCTCTGGAGATTTTGTAAACTTTCAAGTTATGAATTGGTAAGTAAAAGAAAGCTGAAGACAGACATAAAATTCTGCTCAAGTCTGTTCTAATTTAATATATAGAGTTCATCATACAAAGCTCAACCTACATAAAAATGATATAGCACCAAACCAAATGATTTTTTAAAATCAGAGATAAATAGGGGTATAAAGAATAAAGGAATAATAGTAAGAAGAAGATGTGGCAGTGGCTTAGAAAAGGAACATTGAAGAAAGAAACTGGAGGATTTATACTTGCAGGACAAGAGCAAGCACTTCATAACAAACACAATTAAAACCCAGTCTGAGGAAGGATATAATGTCAGTAAATGTCAGCTGTGTAAAGAAGCTCAAGAAACAGTTGGACCACATGACTGCACAAACAGATTACGTGGAAAGTAATGAGAGAGTTACAGCAATGGCTCATTGGAACATTTGTCAAAAATATTCCAGTGACCAAAAACTAATGGGACCACAAAACAAACAAAAAAATTGTTGAAACTGGAGAAGTTGAAGTGTTATGGGGCTTCTGGATTCAAACTAGTAAACATGGCTCACAACATGTCTAATTTGATAACTATTAAACAGAAGTGGGTCTGGATACCTCTGGATGCTTCTCAAAGATCTTCTCAAAGAGAAAGAATTTGAGAAGATCACAAAATACAAAGACATGCAGTTTGAAACCAAGCCATTATGGCAAAAGAAAACTAAAACTCTTCTAGCTGTAACTGGTGCAATACCAAAAGGCCTAGAAAACAACTGTTTTACTCTAGGTGTAAGTGAGATCATGATACACCCACTGCAAAAGTCTGCCTTACTTGGAACAGCACATATTTTAAAGAAATACCTATGGACATCTGAAATAAAAGCAACTAAATCCAGCCAACTTTTGGTGGGTTGTGCAAAATGGAAACAACATCAACCAACCAACCAACCAATCAATCAATTAATTAACAGATGAGTACTTTTGACCAAATAACTGTGAGAGTGCTTTACAATCTGGGAGTGAGCAGGAAAGTAATCTCAATCATTACTTCTCTTCTTCCATTCTATTTGCCCATGTAAGGGATTTAAGTCTGAACATTCCTGAACTCATTAGAGTTTCTTTCCAACAAGTCATTCAGGGGATTATTTATAGATAAATAGGATTCAGTATATAACCAATTTAAACAATTACAATAGCTCAACAGAGGTGATATTTCTAGAACACTGAAGGCAAATTCCTGCCATTTAGTCTATTCAGATGCAAACAGGGGATGTAGCCCAGCCAAAGCTAAGCATAGTTCTAGTCTCTCTAAATCAGTATCAGACAGTTAATAATGCACCTTCTACCTTTGCTTGAATAGGATATGGAGTGGACTTTATTTTCGGATGTGCCTGACTATTCTGAAAGCTTAGCTAGTTTATAAAGCGGTTATGAATCCAAAGATGGACAATATATTTATGGAAATAAACCAAAGGAAATAAAGTGGGAATATAGGTTTGCCTACAATAGGGAGACTACATTATCAGATTAAGAAATCAAGCCTGTGTGTGTATCTCCTGACCCCGGCCTTTGTTACTCTGCCCTCCTATATATGTCACTTCTAGCACAGCTTCAACTCCCTTGGTATCCTTTCAACTCCTAAGTAGCCATTGTGTCCTCCATTACCCTCCCATTTTGGTGGGTGGCATTCAAAAGACTGCAGGTTGGCAAGCATGATTACTTGGAAGCAACTGTGATTGTCAGAGAACATTTGGTTATACCGCCTATTACTTTTTTATCTAGACATGTAAGTTCTTACTACTACTGATGCCACACGACTAATGTGGTCATATTTTCAAACTGTGCAAATATTTATTTTGTATAATTGCCATTAAGACTGCCCCACAAAATAGCTACTCAATCCCACCTGTAAAAATATTGTTACACCTAAAGAGAGTATTTCCTCTCAGTCCCGCCACCTTCACAGGTGTGTTTTGTGTGGACGGACACAAGAGAAAGCCTTCTCCCTTGCTGCTCCCAGACGTTTGAACTCCCTCCCATAGGAGGCCAGGCTGGCCCCATCTTTACTGTCCTTCTGCAAGCAGTTTAAGACCCTTCTCTTTAGGCACGTTTTCTCTGAGTAAATGGCTGCCAAATGCGATTGTTGTACCATACTGCATGGAATGTGTTTTGGTGCTGCTTATGTTTTTTGGCATTATATTCATTGATCCTTTTAGTATTGTATACTTATTGTTACTAACCTTAAATACTGCCTTTTAATTTTTGTAAGCCACCTTGGTTCATTTTTGAGGAGAAAG